AGGCTAGATGATCTGTTCAGGTCTCTCCTGACCCTAGCTACTATGAAACTATGAAACTAGTTAGACTGTAAATGCTTTAAGGGGCTGCTTCTCAGTGTGCATTTGTGCAGTGCCCAGAACAACAGTCCTCAACCTCATTCAGTCCCCAAGCATGGGTCTGCACTCCTGTGTAAGGAACTCCCTATCCCCCAAGGCCCACAGTGCAACCACAGAGCCCTAGGCCCAACCCTAGCGAGGCTTCTGTAGTTGCAGACTCCATTAGCCAAAGAGCCAACAGGCAGGGACAGGAGCTGTATGGGAATGTGCTCCTTGCATGGGTCTGAGAGGCTGCTCTTGGTTGGTGCTATGGCCAATGAGATATGGGCATGGGTAGCAGAGTGCAAAGATGCTGCCATCCACTGCCTCCACATCCCTGCAATGGATTTCCATGCTCTTGGGCACATCTCTTTCCCCACGGGAAGCATTTCCTTTACCTGTGTCTTCCTGTCCAGCTGGACAACACCCACTGACATGACACTACAACTCCTCTGAAAGCTCTCAAACCTGGACAAGCTCTGAGGCGCAGGACTTCTGAGTGGATGTTCAAGTCACCTTGCTCCTGCCCTGAGATGGCTCCTGCCACTGTCCAGCCCCCACCGCCTCTGGTAAACTCCAGCCCTGGCCACATACAACTGATTGATCTAATACTGCAACCCTTCACCCCCTTAGAGTGGCCTGTCCCGTATGGCTGAGAGGGGATGGAGATGCAGAGTAGACCAAGGCTGAGCAGGACATCAGGGGCAGTGCTTGTACTCAAACCCAGGCTCTCCAGGGACCAGATCACCTAGCAGGGAGGAAGAGGCAGTAGGGGTGCAGCCCTTCCCTCAGGCAGAATACCCTGGAGAGCACTGCTGTCTCTCCCTGTCGTTCCCCCCACCCTCCTTCCCCACCACCATGAAGATTGGCTTCATCATCCCAGCCTAGCTCTCTGCAGCATGCACCAAGGCACTCCCTGCCAGGCTGTGCAGGGTCTCAGCTTTCCTCTCAGCACCTCAGCCAGGGCTGATTTTCAGCCTCCTTTTCCTCTTATGACAATTCATTCCAAGTCACTCTGAGTCCTGCCCCTGCCCCTGCCCCTGCCCCTGCCCTGCCAGTGAGAAGAGCTTACAGAGAATGAAGGAGAACTTTCTTTTGATGCTGAACAAGAAGCTTTATTATTATTTCGCTTGCAGTAGAAACTACACAGTACATGACTAGGCCAGGGCCAGGCTGGGCCAACTGCACTAGGTACCAGGTAACAGCATAACCCCTGGCACGGTTCTGTCCTTCTCTCTGACTCAGCATAGGACTTCTGCTTGGAGCAGTCCCTGCCTGGCTTCCAGCTAGTGATTTAAAGACACATGGCACAGATACTTCCACTCATGTGGGTGGGGCAGAGCCCGTAAGTCAAGCCCCTTAGCTTGGATTCAGACCCAGGTCCATAGAACTGCCCCTCTCCATCTGAATGAGGTGTTGACTCTGAACCCTAGTGATGGCAAATGAGAATGCTGATGCTATTAACTCTCTCGTTGCTGGCCATTAATCATCCAGCGAACTCAAGATTGTGGGCAGAGCTCATATGGGGGCAGGTTTTGGGTGATGCCTCCCTTCCATTCCCTTCCAATCTCCCTGCTGATGTGGGGCAGCCCCAAAACACAGGGTACTGAGCTGGAGATGGGGTGGGCTTGTGGGAGGGGACTGCCCTCCACTTAGGACTGTGGGGGGACAATGTTTTATAGGGAAGGAACCCTCTCCCTTGATCTGAGCTCCCCGGGATCCCTCCCAGGGGTGGGGGAGCAGAGCCTAGGATCTGGCACAGAAAGCACACAACTCAGTGTCCTGCCAACCTCTTGACCCCTGAGCAGGACCACAATCAGGCAAGCCAGTCTAGGCCCCACCCTCTAGCTTCAAGCCCCGCCCTCTGGGCAGCAAGAAGAAGGGACCAAAAAAAGGACATGGTCCCAGGGCTAAACAGGTTGGGGGTCCCGTTAGTGAGGCCCACGAGGAATGAGGGATCTCAAGCAATCTTGCTGCTGGCCAGGACTAGTGCTGCTGGGGGTCAGGACCACAACGGGTCAGCAGATCCATGTCAAGCCCATTGGGTCCCTCTGAGGCAGCATGGAGACAGCGGGGGGGAGGGGAGCAGGTCAACCAGCCCCCCACAAATCATTGTTATCGGGAGGACAGCATCATCACGAACTCTGTGGGGGGAGGGGAGGAGACAAGTGGAGAGTAGGAGTGAGTGCACACTGGCCCCTGCCCACTCTGACTTGTGGCACAGGATCCCCCACCCTTCTCTTCCCCTCCCCCAACCCACAGCAAGCCAATGCCATCCCTGCAGCCAAGGGTGCATGCAAAATGCCTGGGTATCTACACTCTGTGGCTCCGGAGACCCCTCCTTACCATCCCACCAGCCAAAGCCCATCACTCATAGCCTGGCTATTTCAGTTAGTGCTTGCCCCCTGCCCCTATCACCTAGGTTCATGACTGGGACAGACACTTCGCTGGGACGGTTTAGTCAGGGATGCTCCTTCCTTGAGCAGGGGGGCTGGACTAGATGCCCTTGTGAGGTCCCTTTCAGCCCTATTTTCCCATGACCATAGGAATGATAACTGAGCCATGTGACTGGGCTCCAGCTGGGGAGCTTGGGGCTGTGGGGCCATGGGAAGTGGGACAAGAGCCCAGGGCAGCCACAGGCCATGGGTCACAAGTTTTCCTCCATCGTCCAACATGGACCATACCCCTCCAGCCCCACATGAGTCCACACAACCCCTTTCCATCTTCCTCCGCCTACCTGTTCTAGCACTGGTTGTCCTCCCCACCCCTCCAACCTGCCCCTCAGGGCTCCCCAAGCCTAGGGGGCATGGGGACTAACCTGGACAGGAGTCCCGGGCACTGATTAAGGAGTGGTGAAAATTGTCACCACTTCCCAGCATGGAGAGCTCTCCTGTTACACCTCTGTCTGGAGGTCTAGGGCTAGAGGGCTCTTGGGCTGGGGTCTCTGCAGTTAGTATAGCATTAGCTAGTGCAAGGATCAGACTACTGTAAGATCCAGGCAAGGGCAGGAGGTTGACCTGGGGATCAGGGCTGAGGGAGGGGCTGCTCCCTGGGGACTAGGGTGGGGATTCTTGGGCCCAGGGGGCCACAGCCTCACCATCAAAGTCAACATGGCCATCCCCATTGAGGTCCACATCCTGCAGGATCTCCTCCACCTCCTGGATCTTGAGTTGCTCCCCAAGGAGGGCAGAGATGGCGTCCTTCAGCTCCGTGCTGCTAATCTCCCCATCTCCATCCATGTCAAACTGTGTGGAGGGCAGAGAGCAGGAGGCTGAGCTCAGGGTGGCTAAACTGGGACCTCTGCCCCCTATGCCCATGCCGAAGACACTCACACCCCCCTCCCCTATACCTTGGTCCCCACCCCACACCCCATGCCAAGCCCTAGCATCCCCCCTAACCAATACCTCACGGAAGGCAATCTTCAGCTCCCGGACACCCACCATGTGGGCCGTCTCCTCCCTGAGCTTTGGCCCCATCATGTCCACAAAGTCCTCAAAGTCCACGCGGCCACCCACTGCACAGGGCACACAAGCAATTAGAGACGCTTGCATGTTTTGCAGAGGCAATCCACAGCAGGGCAGCATGAAGGAGGGGTCTGTCTGGGGCAGAGACCCAAGCAGGGACAGCATGGGAGGAGGGGTTTGTCTGGGGCAGGGACCCATGGAGTGGGCAGTGTGGAAGGAGGGTACAGAAGGCAGGCCAAGCTTACTCCTCATCTTGATGTGCTGAGAGATCTCGATGAGCTCCATCTCGGTAGGCATATAGCCCATTGTCCGCATGCAAGGGCCCAGGTCCTTGTAGCTGATGTAGCCATCCTGGTCTGTATCAAACTCCTTGAAGGCATCTAGCAGCTCTGCCAGGGGAAAGATCCGGGGACCCCCTCAGTGCTGGCACACAGAAAACACCACCCTGACCCTAAGTGCATCCCCTGGGAGGGTCTGCAGAACCAACTCCCCAAAATTTCCAAGGCCAAGTCCTCACAGGGTCCCTCCCTATCACTTTTATACTTCTTAACTAATACTCTTGTCCCAAATGACATGGGAGCCAGTGCCTGGAGCGGCTGGGATCAGTAGTGTAACTGAGGGAAGGGAGAAGACCAGGGCAGAAGCCCCGAACCTTGTGGGAGGGGCACAAGAATAGCCACAACCCCACTGGTGGCAGAGCGTACCTCAACAGTCAGCACCAGAGCAGCCGGCACTGCTCCAAAAACTGTAGTTGCCCCGGGCACAGAGTTGCCCTGCTACCCCTGGCTGGGATGCAGCATGAGAGGCTTGGGGATGGGACAGGGCACCCCTGGTTCCCCCCTTGGGAGTTTTTTTTCTCATAATGCCCTGGGTGTGGGCAATGCTAATGCAGCAGTCACCCAAGATCTTCTGCTGCAAGCAGTGTCGTAGGGAGCAGGGATCAAGTGAGGCGACCGCCCTGGGCACTGCAGCAAAGGGGTGCCAACAGGCACTGTCCAGGTGGGGCAGGGTGCGGGACACAGCCACAAGCAGCTTATTTGGTGGGGCATGGGGACAGGAGAAGACAGCACCCGCTGCTGGGTGCAATCCCAGAGAAGCATGGGAGGGGCATGTGCCCTCCAGATCTGTGCTTGAGGCAAGGGTGGGCTGCCGATGTGGGCTTTCCCCAGGTGCCAAACTTCCTTGCCACAGTACTGGCTGCAAAAAAGATTGGCAGGTAGGGCTACTTAGGGGGCAGCTCTGCCCAGGGGTGGCAGAGAAAGAGTGCCCCTTGTGAGGCTTCACAGCTTGAGGTGTACGTAACAATGCAGCTCCACCATGGGCACCAGGCCCTGTGTCCCTCCCAGGGGCCCGTGCCCACCCTTTGAGGGGGCTGGGCATGGCGGCATGACAGCACTAGGCTCATGACTGAACCCCTCCTGGTTTGACCCAGAGGTCAACCCCTGCCCTGGCCACAAAGCTCCCATCCAGCCTGCCTCCTCCCAAACATCCCTAGGGGCTAAGATACAGACTCCCTCCCCCACAGCCCATCATGCCAACTCACCATCTATCTCCTCCGGGGAAAGCTCCCTCTCCTGGGACAGAAAGGAAAGGGAGCAGTTAGACCCTGGGGCAGATGTCCCAAATACCCCCACTGCAAATGCCACACCCCCATGCAAAGCCAGTGTCAGGGAACCACAGGGCACCATGCCCGTGAGGGGGGGTGGGGTGTGTGGTCCCAGGGGACATGAGCAGCTCAGGGCTCATGGCCTAAGCCAGACAGCAGCTTCCCACTAATCACCTCGTGCCGCTCACCCCCGTTTCCCTTTATAGCTCGATCTCTTTTCACCTTCCCCACTAAGACGCCATCATCCGTTAAGAGCGGGATCAGCATGGGCCAAGGGCCAGGAGCATGCCACATGGGCAGCAGCAACAGCCCTTTGCTCCTGCCCTGACCAGCCTGCCCCAGACAGTCCAGGACCCCTTCTCCACCCCCTGGCCAAGTAGCCCCTACCATGATGCTGGAACAGGGCCAGCACCCTCTGCAGGGGAAAAGCCCACCCCCCGCTCCCTCTGGCCTGAGGAGCCAGTACCCTGCACCCAGACAAGGAGCCTCTTTCTCACCTTGTGGCCAGTCCCCCCACCACCCTGGACTTGAGGACAAAAGCCCTGCTCCATTTCTGCCCCACTCCAAACCAACCTGGCTCCTGTCTGGATCCAGCCCTCATCCAGATTTCCAGGCTGGGGGAAGCAGGGTGCCACTGGAGGAGCAGGTATGTCAGGGGTGGGGGGAGGAGTCCCATCTATGAGCATGGACCGCACCATGCTGTGCTGCCCCCAGGGAGGGTGGCAAGAGCAGGGGATGGGGTACTGAGCCTGTGTAACCTTCAGAGAGAAGCCACAGAAGCAGGTGACAAAAGCTGGCCAAAATTAACCTCCTGAAGGCAGGATTAGGAAGATTGCAGCAAAGCTGTGATCTCCAGCCCTGGCCTGGGCAGCCTGGCGCAGCTCCCAGCTCCCGCCCTTTGCTCCTAGCAGCCATTGCCTTGCTATTCCAGCACCAGGTCCCTGCTCTGGGCTAACGGGATTTGCCAGGCTCCTGGCAGATAGCTCAGAGGGGCCTATTCACCCCAGCTAGTCAAGGTGGCAGGGTCCTAGCACACTGGTGGGACAGGAGGCAGAGGAAACACTACGTGAGGGAGGAGACAGGTACTGTCCCTACCAGGGTCTGAGTCAAGCTGGCCAGCTCTGGGATCCAGCTGAGCCATGGGTGGGAGCCCAGTCTTCAGGCCAATGAGACAGACCTTGTTCTTAATGGGACATGCCAGTCAGACAGCTCCCTCCCTAGAGCAGGACTGGGTTCCCAGGGCACCTACCACTTTCCTTCCTCTCAAGCACTTGCCTTAACAGAGATGTGCCCCTGAAGATGCCCACTGCCTTGCCCCCAATAGACTACCCCTACCCCACCCCAGACCACCCCCAGTGGTCATGCCCACTCAGCCACATGCGCCCCACAGAGCTGCCCCACTACACCCCAGCAGCCCCCCCAACAGGCACCATTATCCCTGCCAAAATGCCCACTGCCTCCCCCACCTGCACAGCTCCCCACACCCTCCCCTCCCCTTGCAGAGCCCAAATGCCCCTCAGATCTCTGTCCTGGTGCATCCCTTGGCCTGCCCCACCCTAGTGCCCATGGCACACCTTGCCAAAGACAGTGTTGAGGAAAGGCGAGTAGACCTTGATGGCAGCAGCGTTGGGGTCGCCGTGGCCCTTCTTGCTGCTCTTGTGCGTGTGGCCAGTGTGCGCGTTGGAGCGGGTCTCTGAGCCAGGGCTCTTGCTGGCTTTAGGCTCCTCCTTGTCCTTGGGGGGCTTCTCCCCCACTTCTCCCACCTTGCCCTTGCCCGGGATCTCAGCCTCTTTGTGTGTGTCCTTTTCAGCCTTGCTTGGCTGCTTGCGTGGCATGAGGCTGGACACCGGGGCGCAGTGGACAGGCAGCCGGGCACCTCTGGAACAGGCAGAGAGCAAGGGCATGGGACAGCAGCACCTTAAGAAGGAGTCAAGAAAATCCTCTTAACTCCCTCCACCCCCTACCCCCACCAACAGGAGGGGAGATGGCCAGGGGGCAAAGCCAATTAGTAGGGATTAGAGAGTAGTACAAGCAGCTCTGTGCCACGCGGCTCTGTGTGTCCTCACTCCCCTGCCCCCAACCCCACATGGCCCCATGTCCCCTCAGCACCACTCCTCCACTGTCCCACGTGCCCGCACCAGGTCCATGTGCCCTCACCATCACCACTCCCCTGTGACTCTCTGCCTTCACCCTTGCTCTCCAACAGCTCCATGTCACTACACCGCCTCCCTCCCACCGTGGCTCCACAAGCCATCCCCACAACTTGCCCCCTTTCTATCTGCCTCTTCACTCCTCCCTATCCCCATGTACCCCCTACATTGCAATCAGGGCTCCTGCACCACTGCTTCCCCCTGCTCTGCCCCCTACATGTTCCATCCCAGGGCCATCTCTCACCCTGCCTGCTCCCTCTGCTGGCAGGGGCCCAGCAATCACAGGCTTTCCATCTGTGTGCCAGCTCCATCCCAGTCCTGCCAGCAGATAGGGGACCCTCCCTACTGGGAAAGGCAGGTCTGGACAGTGTAGGCTAAGGTCCTTTCTAATATCAGAGCCCCTGACAGGGGCTGGGTAGCACAGGATCTACCCCCTCTCTGATGTCTCTGCCCTTTCTGCTAGGCAGAGTATATTATTGCTACTGGTTATTTATGTGATCCGGCAGGCAGATCGGGAACCCACACCCCCAGGAGGAGTCTGGCACAGCCCCACAGCCCTCCTGGGGGTGCAGACGAACCCCCACTCTGCCTGACGGATGGAAGGAGGCTGGTGCTGCCAGCTGGAGCCAGTGGCAGCACAGATCTTCCCGGAGCTGGGTGGCAGGAGCAGCCTCCTGTCATCCGGCAGGCAGATTGGGACCTCGTTGCACCCCCAGGGAGGGCTGCAGGGGCTGTGCTGGACTCCTTCCTGGCGCTGGGTGGCAGGAGCTTCCTGGCACCGTCCCAGGTGGCAGGAGCAGCCTCCTGTGATCCCACAGGCTGATTGGGGCCCCCACAGACACAGGAGGGCTGCGGGGTCTGTGCCAGACTGCTCCTGGGGGTGCAGGCCCCCAATCTGCCTGCCAGATCACAGGAGGCTGGTACTGCTGGTTGGGACTGGTGCTGGACACAGCCCATGCCAGGAAGATCAGTGATCCCACTACCCCAGCCTGCAGCACCAGCTTCCTGTCATCCGGCAGGCAGTTTGGGGGCTCACCCTCACCCCCGGGAGGGCTGCAGGGCCTGTGCTGGACTCCTCCTGGGGGTGCGGGCCCCAATCTGCCTGCCAGATGACAAGAGGCTGGTGCTGCCAGCTGGGGCCAGTGGCAGCACTGATCTTCCCAGCACTGGGTGCAGAATAGTATATGGGCAAAATGTTGAAACAGCATCGAAACAGTGAAACAGTTTCGATGACACAAAATGAAACAGTGCTTTTGAAATGAAACAAAACTCGAAATGAAACACTGTCCCATCCAAACGTCGAAAAGGATGTCCAAGCAAAGCGGCGCCATTTCGCACAGCCCTAGCATTTAATACCACCACCTTGGCTCACTTGCACTACTCCCTTCAGCCACTGGGTGTCTCCACACGCAAGCAGAGGATGGTCCCTGGTGAGCAATGGAAGCCAAGCTGAAACTTGAGCTGTGTGCCTTGGCCTGGCCCTCTGCATTGTCAACAGAGCTTCCTTCCTGAGATCAGGAATTCCACAGAGCATGACAGGAAATGCTTAACGAAGACATTTCCTTACGAGTTTCCTAAATACCTGCTAATTTAAGATCAGAACAATCAGCCGGATAAAGGATAATGCACAGAAGAGCCACAAAGGTTTGCTGCATTCAGGCAAGGGCCTACAGGCAAAAGCTGTGTTCCCTTACCATGTGATGGGGCACACAGGGAGGAGCCGGAGAACACAACATTGAGCTTCCTGCTTTGCCCCTGCTATGCTGCTTTCCGTCTCAGAGACCTGCTTGCTCCTCCTCAAGAAGAGTGGGAAACTGACTGCTTCCTCTGCTGAGGGGTCTAGTTGAAATGCTATTGTGGCCCTTTCCAGGCAGGATCTAAGGAGCTGTGGTTCACTTTACAGAGGTGAGACTTACAAGGTCAACAGTTTTATCACCTTCCCTGTTATTCCAAAGCCAACAGCTCATAGCAGAAACAGAAACTCTTTCATAATAGGATCCTTTTTAATGGGGCAAGGGGCTTGTATTGCTTATTTAAAATCTTTTTAGACAAAAAAGGTCTGCACATCCTATGATCAAAGTTTCTCCTAAGCAGAAGGCTGGTACAAATAAATCTAAGAAGTTATAAAACCAATGGGCTGTTGTCACCTTAAGTGTAGGAGAGGAATTCATATACTACCCAGAAAAGATGAGAGATATAGAGCTCTTTTTTTCCATTTGCTGCAAAGAGGAACTTGCTGTCCTCTTTTAGGATGCTTTGGAGGATGGCATTTGAAAGCGGAAAGAGGTTTTCCTAAGATAGGCAGAAGCTAATAAACACCCTGTGTGAACCTATAGAGAAGGAAAAGAAAAGATCCTCCCCATTCAGTTTACACAAAGCTGTGGTTTTAGCTAAAGATCCCTGCAGAGGGGAGAGAGAATATTTTTGAAAGCACAGACTGGTATAACTCTGGGTTCTCTCGGAGCTGCTAGACCACAGTGCTCTGAGCTAGCAGCCTCTGAGCAAAACTGAAACATTTTTACAGCAGCAGCTGTTCACCAGAAAGCCTTCTCTTCATCTGAGAATGCCCTGAGGTTTTCCAAAAGACTGTATTTTTGTATGTGGCTGAGACACTGAGAAGCTGACACCCAGATGGAATAATTCCTAGCATCTTCCAAACTGGCCAGGGAACAGTTTTTCCTTTGGAACACACCATTAACGAAAAGAACAACAACAAAAAACTACAGGAAAACGCCCTGCAATTTGCCAAACTCTAAGAAAGAGTGGGAGTTATTTATAAGTCATTCTATTGTCAGATTGGCTGGGCCTTAGCTGGAAGACAATATGGACAAAGCAAGAACAGACTTAAGGGTCAGGATCTGGAAGAGAGACTCTGGTCTATAACCATCAGATGTCCTCAGAGCTAATATAGGACCCCCAGGCAGATGGGGACTGCTTTGCCTGTATTTGTGGCAGTCGTTTTGGAAGTGTTGGCCAGCACTCCCACGTTCCCTTCAGTTTCCTCATAGAAGATTTGTGGAAGCATCTCAATCAAAAGAAGCAACATTTTAATGCAAAGAGAAGTGACACTATGACATCTGTAGATCCCTCAGAGAATTGCATCTCCTCAGCCCACAGGGAAATGGTAGAGACTAGTAAGAGCCCTAGGAGAAGCTGTAAGTGATCACAAACAGGTAGCACATGAGCATTACTGAGCAGACACCTAGGAACCCCCGACTGGAAAGATGTCCAGGTTGCTAAGTCCACCACCCTGCAACCACAAGGATCCATAACATCTGCCCAACATCTGCCCCGATCACAAGGATCCATACCATCTGCCCTCTCATACACGACAGCCTCAACATGCCCCCTGACATCCTGTAGTCAACTCAAGATCTTTAGAATAACCTGCCCCCCCGCCACCTACCTCCAGCAGTGAAGCAGCTGCTACAAGCCAGATTTCCCATTTGTCAGGTTAAGTGTTGGTATAGCAAGAAATGAAGCGTTGTGGGATTGCCAGATTTAGGACTGCAAGTCTTTGATGCCCACCTCCACTCCCCGCCTCCTCAGCCCTGTTTACAGTAATGATGGACTGTCATAAATTGGAACTGTTTTCAGCCATGCCTGGGGATTTGACCATCCATGCAGCCAGGACCTGGAACAGCCTGTCACCAGGAGGAGTGTGAGAGGGGGGAGCTGTCTAGCTTTAAGGTGGAGCTGGATCAATGTCCATGCAACACGGCTGCCTGTAAGAGCAAAATCTGGTCTTGGTGTCCCAGGAGGCCCCCTCCCATCCCCATAGTAACTAAGACCTTTCCCAAAAGCTGGCAGCATCAGGTTCAGAGCTGGAAGAAACTGCCACAAGACTGGGACCCTCAGCATGGCTATACAGGCAGGGGTACACCAAGGTCTTGTCTGCTCTGGTGATCCTTGGAAGGCTTCACACAGCCACAATAACCCCGGTGCCTCTGGCCCCACAAGTGCCCACAGCACCTGGGCATTTGCCCAACACGAGAAGAGAATCCACTCCCTGTTCTGTCTGATCTCAACTCTTTATTGGCACTAAGGGGGCATCATCTTTATGCCTGTCATAGGATGGGCCCAGCCTCCTCAGGCTCCCTCTGGCTCTGCTACCTGTAGCCCTGAGGTGCCCTTGTGGCAGTGGGGAAGAGCTGGAAGGGAGCAGTGCTCTGGGGCAAACAGCGGTCCATAAGGCACCAGCAGCTGATACTCAAGATCCATGCCACATGATCCAGGGACACACAGGGGCCAGAGTGGCACCAATAATCAAACTCAGTAAGGCCCATATACATCCTGCCTTCCCACCTGGGCCCTCCAAGTCCTTCATTGCTGCTGCTGAGCATGGGCCAAATATCCATGCCCTCTCAGTACACCCCTTTGAACTCCTCACCCCTGTGAAGTTGGGGACCAGCCCCAGAGCAGAGACAGGCAAGGTTTCTGACCAGTGGAGTTGCCTTCTTATTTGGGACAGCAGAGGCAGGCATCACAGACCCAGACAAACATGCACAACCCGATGACAGCAGCCAACAGCGGACTTCTGGCTCTTGCCTGAGGAGGACATGAGCACGTCCCTTTGCTGGGGCCCAGATGGGGATGGATTAGACAGGGGTGATGCTGCTGGGAGCAGGGGTTGGATTAGATGTGACCTCCTGAGTGCGTTCCCAGCCCTATTTCCTCAGATTCTGTTTCTCTGGAGCTCACCCCAGATGAGGCCACCTCTCACCCTCT